TTTTGATTCTAATTGATACATGTACCTGTATATGAAGTTTTTTCAATATAATTTCAAAGTCTGTCAAATGTGATCGGCAAATTTGCATTAAAAAAAGGTAGGAACACAAATACATGTATATAACAGTAATTTGTACACACTAAATAGATGTTTATGTATCGCCGCCAGGTGCCGCAGTGCAAAATCCACAAGACAGTCCACAAGACGGAGCCCTTAATCCGGTAGAGTGCTTGAGTGACTACTGTGTCTCACATATCATGACTTCTTTCAAGCGAGGAGAGATCGGCAATCCAAACAGCCCACCCATTCAACTGGACATGGTGCTCTACGAAACCATCTTCTTCACAACCTTTGCCAACCCAGACAACCTCCACCAGACCTTAATCGAGGATGCTTCAATGTGTAAGGTAGGCCCTACGTCAATGTTTCAGTTAAATTGCATTTATCTTTAACATAAATATTCAACTGTAATGACATCACATTTTTAGTTCCCTAGGCACTAGCATTTTATCTATAACAAAATACGTACAAGTATATCCAAACCTAATTATCTCAGCGCAATTTGTGTGTATTGTGATTTTACCTGCAAGTTCTACATGTATTCTTTCTTCTCTGTAGTTAACTATTCCACAAGAAAGAGATACCCGGCGGTGCACTCTCTTGGATCTACTTCAAAAGGGAGAACTTAGAAGCAAAGCCAGAACATATACTATTAAAAATTATACCGATACCAACAACTGCGGGTTCTACATGGTAACGGACAGTCTAGCCGCTAACGTTGAGAAATTCTGGAGAGAAAATGGAGTGGCTTTTGATAAAACAGAAGGAGAGGATGAATGTATTGATCTCTACAGAGCAGGTATTTTAATTAACAATGGCTCAATATAATAAGCAAATATATAGTAAACAACGTGGTAACATTGAAGAAGATTGTGTAAAGGAGAGCAGTGCTATTTTAGTTTATTTCACTGATTCACTGAAACCAGTTTTATCCTTTTTTAACAGATGAAAGTGAAACTTCTACTGCTCAGCAAATCCTGGAGTGGAGAGTCGACACCTACCTCCAAACGGAGGGAATTACTCGACAGAACTTGGAGACCAGCGCAATGTCAGCAGAGGAGAGGGCTAAAGATTGGTTCTACACGATCAAAGACAACGTAGATACTTTGCAAGCACAAAATAAAACTTGGGTAAGTCAGCGATAGGCCACAAGGCAAAGTCACCATAAAACAATTTGTGTGCACAAGTAACCGACTCCATTTAAATGAATTAATTTTTTGTGGACTATTTTGTGATCTGTACACATGAGAGCCGTTTGTAAAAGAACTTTAAACAGGAAGTGGCATTCACGTGCGTACTGCTCAAGATGTGGTAATTGCAGCTTCCATTTTTTTTTTAATTTTGTGCCTTGCGTTGGATCCATTGCATATTTATCATTTTTTATAAACTCAGTTGCAGAACTTTTATTGTGCATAATGTTATATAAAATTGCATTGAAATTTTAGACGGAAAAAATGGAAGAAGAATTTAAAGATTTCCAAGAAATGGTCAATGCAGAAAATAGTCATCACAAAAATGAGACTCGTAGCAACATTCAGAAGGCGGAGGCTGATCAGAACAATTTCAAGAAAACCATGGCGTCAAACTTCGACCAACACAGAATAGATGTACAAAACATGTTTGAAAACCATAAGGTAAATAATATTATATGTAAATAACATGATATTTAAACAAAATAATCTTAAATAAGACGTGCCTTGTCAAATACTGCAGCGCTACAACATCAGTGGCCTGGGGTGAGGATGAAGCAGCATATATATATATACTAGAGGCCAAATTTCTTGTTAGAAAGCAGAAAAATATCATGAATTAGCCAAAGGCATATCTGTGAATAATGTGGTGAAAAATCTGTGGCGAACAAATGCCGGTGTACCATGAAAATCTGACTCCCCCAAAATGTGACTCCCCAATCAAATTTTCATTATGAACATGTGACTCCCCCCATGAAATTTTGACTCCCCCCACAAAACTTAATAAATCTTATTTTATTTGAGTATAAGACTCCTATGTTGTAGTATGCAATATGAAGGATACACTGGCACTTTTTGTTAGTTTGCAGGTGAAAAATTGAACGAGAATATAAGAAAATTAAAAATGTGTATTTTACCACCCAATGACTCTTTCCTTTAAGTATACTTTATGAAGAATATATTGGAAATATTTGAACGTTTTGCGGTAAAATATTGGGTGCAAATAAAAAAAAATTGGAAAAACAGACATGAAAAATCTTTATATTCATACCCATGAGATTTGGACTCCCATGAAGAAAAAACCTATTTTATAATTAGACACCATATCATTGTTTTCCATGGTTTGCGTTGTGATATATATTTTGGTAGTATTTGAAAGTTGGGTGGTGAAAATTAATCATTTTTGGAACAAGTATTCATCTTACTACCTGGATTTAGACTCCCATAGCCTTTTCATAGGAGTCACTGGGTGGAAAAACCACACATTTTTAATTTTCTAATTTTCTCATGAAAATGTATCATCCATTATGCATACTACAAGATGAAATTTGTAAACTCAAATAAAATAAGATTAATAAAGTTTTGTGAGTGGGAGAGGGGAATTTCATGACTGGGGAGTCAGATTTTCATGGGAGTTAGATTTTCATATGACACCGGTGTTTGGTAAGTTTCTTTTCTATTTCATTTCAGGCCGCAATGGCCAGTCTCCATAGGGAGGGTATGGAAGTGCTAAAGGCACAGTTCAAAGCGTTCGAAAACCAGCAGAAGACGAGACAAGAGGATTTTGAAAAGGAAATGAGAGACGCCTTTGAGTCTTTGTCTGATAAGCTTATAAAAGATGTGAACGAGGCCACCAGTCTCATGAAACAAGATATTGATTCTCGTGGCCAGGAGCTTCAAAACACAGTAAGTCTTCAGTGACTTATTATATATGAACAATTGCAATTAAGTCATTAGGTAAAAAAACATATGCAGATTATCAATCATATGAAATGTTGGTAGCGATGGGAATGGTGAAATCCTAGTAGACCTTTCCAAAAACACAGTGTGTTTTAGTAAATACAAGAGATGCGACTTTGAGATCTTATAAAAACGTTTGGTAATTCCTGTAACATTACACAAGTTATACATACGGGTTATACATGCTAATTCTAATGTTTGATGAGCACTTTCCTTTTGCTTTCAGATGAAGGAAGCTGAAAAGCAACAGCAGAAAATGCTCCAAATGGTTAAAAAAGCAGAGGATGGAATGCAAAAGAAACGGAAGGATTGGGAAAGAAGACTCAACATCTTGGAGAACAAAATATAGAAAGTGTAGGATGAAAACAAATTATAATTGGCATAGCTTTGAAGAACGCTGGGGATAATTTCCACTGTTGGCATTTTGACAGAATTTTTTTAAGTGGCTATTTGCAACTTACAAATGCTTTGTGTGCACCTTTCCTTGCGTTTTGTTTGAATTCAATCTGTACACAGAACATATAACACGATATTTCCAGCACATCAGTGGAGCCCGTTATCTAAAATAACATCTAAAACAGAGAGTGTTATTATCAAAACTATTCAACGCAAATAAAACAATGCCAGCTTTATCAGTGTTCTTTCATGTTGGACGTTACTCTGCGGAATATCTGAGGTTTCCTTTGGGGTAAATAAGTGCGATAATGAGACGTTTACTTGAATATAATCTATAGTAAAGAGTTGTAATTTTAATTGTGAACTGGAATTTGCGGCTTTCAGTGTGCACTCCCAATTAACCGAGCCTTTGATAAGATTTAAATAGATGTGAATATTTGAATGTGAATATTATTATATTGTGAATGTGAATATTAGATGTTAAGATTTAAATAGATGTGAATATTTTGCACAATAAAGGGGCTTTCCCCTATTTACACGGTTTGTCTGTCAGCCATCAAGGCCCCTTTTTCACCTATGCAAGTTAAATTTAGTTTTATATATTTTTAATCAGATCATGTATTATCTCAAGTATATATATATTTTATACACGATTGGTAAGGGGTTACCTAACGTTTTTATATTCTTATAGATGAATAGTTTGAAATATTTTTGTCATAGATTTTATACAATCACGAGACTTAATGTGAGATGAAATCTGCAGATTCATGAAACCCTAACAAAAGCAGGATGGGCTGTGACAACAATCTCATTCTTTGAAGTCTGAGGACGCGTATTTTTGAAAAGATGTTTAATATCGCCATCGTTAAAATGTCCACACACCAAGTGTTCAAATATACCAGTTGTCAATAAATCTTATCGATTTCACCTTTTATGCATTTGCTTGTTTTCTTTGTGTTTTGTTTGTGTCATTTAATACTGGTTGATTACATAAATCCCAACGAAATTTTTCACAGGGAAGGGGGGTTACACAGATTTTTTTTCCCTTAGGGACCTTTCATATGAAAAAATCTATTTTCTAAAAATGTATTTTCTATTTGCGGTATCTTGTGATCACGGTCTGTGCCCTGAATACCCCGCGGCATAATTACTGGCAGCGCGACCCAGTTACTTCCAAAGCTGTAATTAATTCTCGGCTGCGCTCGGAGTGATCACAAGATACCGCGAATAGAAAATAGATTTTTAGAAAATTGATTTTTCATATGAACGGTCCGTAATAGGCATAGGGGACAAGTTTTCTGGTTCGCGTGAGCGAACATAACTTTTCAAAAAAAGCCAATGCCCCCCCCCCCCTCCCACCAACCCCTTCCCTCCGCTGATTAATTCAAATCTATCAAGATCTTTTTCAATTTAACTCTTGCTTCTGTCTTTGCATATCAATTCCCACCAACATTTTGTCCGTTTTGCTATCTATAAGAAGCAATTCTACGAGCTGTCTGCGCCCAGTCTGAATGAGTACGTATCTACAATAAAGTTTACAGATACGATAAAGTGTACAGGCCCTCTTTGTATAGAATGTACGCTTTTCCTAATTCCGCTTGACCTAGACAGACCAACACAGGCATACCACTATAACGGATTGATCCAAGACAACAGATAAAACCGTGTGTTTGAATGCCTATCATTGTCTGTGATTCTGTAGGTCAAGTTAGTTCCGCTGCAGATAGTCTAGATGTGAATTGAATAAGACGTGTGCTTTGCATGACTGTTCGCAAATACGAGCAAGCATTACATCTTACGAGTTAATTCCTGATTTATCGGCATCTACAAGTTCATTAAAAAGAGATGAGTAGCGAAAAGGTACGTGGAGTCGTCACCGACATCACACGCTTAGACATCACCAACGATGAGGTTATGGACAAGTATAAAGTATGGGCCCAGAGTTACGATGAGGTAAGAATTAGGCTTTGCACTGTACTTGTTCTGGGCTACCTGCTTTAAATATGTCACCGTGCAGTGTCGACAAGATTGATAATGCATGCTTCACTTCACAAGAAGTCAAATATGACTGGAATTTGAAAACTGAAAACATATCTGGGTCATACATGTAGGCCTGAGAATGTATCTTCCCTAAGTAGCTTAGGTAGTGTATGTATCATAGTGTCATTAGCGCAAATGTAGCCCCTGCCAAGTGAGGTGGCCTACTTTATACCGCCCTACTTAATAAACTGTTAGCCAAGAACAGAGGCTTATATTACTGGTACGCGCAGAGATCCTCGGACTTACTCTCTGCCCTAGGACAGCATGGGTATTTTAATTTATCTATTACTATTTCTTTGCGTGGTTTATTTATTTTTCGTAAAATATTCTTGGGTGGGATAGAAAAGTGCAGAGAATTAGCCAGAGAACTATATATTATATATCTGTGAATACCTGTTGAAAATGTTCTCTGTGTGACAGTGCTAGAAGGTTCTCTAGATCAATGTTTCAAGAGTTTCAACAGTGACTGTACTTTCCAGAGAACGTAAGGATTTTGCCCTCTGACCCATTAAGAACTGCGTGAGCTTACACTTCTCATTGGAATTTAGGGGCTTAGAAGGGTGAAAAAACTCTAAATTGGGGCTCACGAGAACCCCTATCCTACCCCACCCTCCCGCCTATAATAAATTAATAAAAGACACGCTTCACTATGATCAAAACCTATGATGAAATTTGATATGTGTAGTAGAGTTATTCATGATGATAAACTGAAAAAAGGGTCAATTTCTACACAATAAGCTGAAAGCGTACCTGAGAGCTTTTTTGACCCCCTGTGATTCAATCGAGGGGTGGAGGAGGCCATTTACATACGGGCCCAGGGACCTTCACTTAACAAAGACAGGGGGAGGGAAGGGGGGCATAACCTGCTTCTGGGACAGTGCTATAGTGGACAGTTCTCACTAAACTGTTTCTCACTAAACTGTTTACTATACACTGTCGCATAGGTTAAATGTGACTGTAGAAGTCCCATGTGTTGGGACGAAAGCTCTCGTGTGCGCTTGCAGCTTAATTATTGTGTAGAAATTTGACAGTTTTGAAGTTTACCATAATGAAAAAAACTTCTTATGTTGTTTGCACATCTACCAGTACTACCGGGGTACATTTAACATTTAACATTTTGTTGAGGACTTTAAAATCCCCAAATTAAAGGTAATAAAACTTCTAGCTTTTAAAGTATTAAGCTGATATCTATATGTTGGTAATATAAGTATAAATGTGGAAATTGTATACTGAAAAACATGCATTTAATATATTTTTAGGATTTGAGTTTCATAGAATATAATCCCCCTAAAATTGGTGCCAGCGAGTTATCGAAGTTATTAGGGGACAATAAGAACGCTTTAATTCTGGACGCTGCGGCGGGGACCGGGTTAGTAGCAATTGAGGTAGGGTTTACAAGATGCAGTTTTAATAAAAACAGCTTTTCATTGAAAATTGGAGAAGTAGAAAGACATTCAAGATTGAACTTATTCATAAAGACCAGGTATAATTTGTGAAACCGCTAAAACGTGCGTGTCGATGATATTAGACAACATAGAAAACAATTCCTCAATATTACTTTCATCATTTTATAAATTAAAAAATGTCTTTACAGCTGAAGAAAAATGGTTTTCAAAACATCGATGCACTGGACGCCAGCGCGGAAATGCTGGAAAAGGCGAAGGAGAAGAAACTGTATAATAACGTTATCTGTGACTTTATGGGCCCAAATCGGTTGGATATAAAAGATGGTAATATTTGAAATAGGAGTTGACGAATTAGTTTACCAGAATTCGTTCTATTTTACAGTACTTATCGACTGTTTAATAATGTGAAAGCCCAGTCAAGAATTAAGAGAATTTATTAGTAGTAGTAGTAGTAGTAGTAGTGGTGCACGTGTAGGTTAGGCAACAGAAAAACTGACAGCCACATTATCTCGGGTGACCACGTGTTCAGTTACGACTTACCTACAACAATTGACGTAGGAATTTAGTTCTTTGAGGAACTGATTTTTTTATTTAAATTAAATTAATTTTAATGCGCTGCGACCAGGGTAAGAATAGGCCTACATGTATATCTGCGCTGTACATGCATATTCGCCAGCCCGAAAAAATTATGAAAATTTGTCTTCTTTATATATATATATATATATATATATGGAACTTGTTTTATTTACTGAAATGCGAATTGCCTTTTTTTTTACAGATACTTATGACGGAGTTGTGACTGTAGGTAGCTTTTGTCCAGGTCACGTGAACGGAAGCTGTCTGGCTGAGCTAATTCGGATCGTGAAGCCAGGTACATGATAGTGTGAATACACACTAGTTACATCAAACAAACAATAGGGGCCATACCGAACACACAGACACGTTTCTTTTCATCAAGTACAACTGTCTGCTGAAATTGATGTTCAACTTTGATCCCAAGTGTCTTTGTGATCGCGTTTTAAAACCAATATCAATATTATTCGATGAAGCAATAGTGTGAGAAAAAATGTGCATTATTTTTTAGATAACAGGTACTTCTTCGAAGCTGAAAACGGTTGTGGATAAAACAGAGCCTAGCGTGCTGTCGTATCTAAGACCATGGTCTCAGACGGTCATCAGAAATTTGGATTCTAGTTTAAAAATCACCGTAATGGCATGTTGTCGACACTTTTTCTTTTTAATTGTAATATATCATAGGGTGATAATCAATTGATTTAACATGATATCGATAAAAACGAAGAGTTAATTTGGAAAGATGAGACATTTTGTCGCGACTATAGTTCTGCCGGGTCATGACCGTCTTTTTCTAAACTATAGCAATGTAAAATCAAACAAACACATAATGATTTTAAAATAAAGTTTTCTTTTCAAAACCGTACACAGCGGTTTGGGCATGGAACAGTCAAGTCACTGCACACCTTACCGCTGGTGTAACATATGTCACACAGATTTGTTTGTTTAAATATTATTACTATTCCATCAATCATGGTACATCCATTCATTTTTATATCCAGGTGGCTACATAGTTATCGCCCTCAAAAAAGTTTTCCTGCCAGTTCTGGGTTACAACGGTCAAGGGCTTCACGAGATTATGGACGAGCATACCAAAGCCGGCCGATGGGACGTACTGGCCAACCATCCCATACCTAGGTATCACGAAATGGAAGAGGGAATGTTGTACATATTTCGTATCAAAGTACAGGGGTTTTAATATCGGTCGTGTCTCCAGGGCCTATTCCGTGTCTTTATGGGAGCAATGACATGCAACTTATAAAAAATCACCTGAACACATGAGGTATGGGAATCTGTATTCATATCAAGTACAATAGCACATTCGAATTCCTTAGATACTGGCCTGTAAGCAAAAAACTTTAAAAATGAAAAAGAGCACAGGCGTAGATCTGGCAATAAACTGAATTGACTAATGTCTACGTTTGAAAATACCTTTTATATTACATGTTAAAACTTGTGGTGGACATTACGAGTATCAAAATATGGTTTAGTGTATTTAAATACGTGACGATATTTTTTATTCGTATTTCGTACAAGTTGCAAAATGTCCTTCAATTTGTAAAGGCAAAATCTTAGACAGCCCTGAATGGTTCCATTTCGATAGAGGGAAATAAAACGTATCATCATGTGTAATGTAGGATGTCATTTCCATAAGATGTAAAATGTGTCGTAAATTTTCTTCTAGAAAGCAATTTGCTCCGTTTACTGCATCAATTTGATAAAAACGAAATACATGTGCCGGTACGCCGTCGTTCTGTTTTTTTTTTTTTTTTTAATTTATTATTTTTATTTTTTTTTTTTTTTTTTTTTTTTGGGGGGGGGGGGGGTTAAGGCAATCTTTTGACGCTTAACCTAGATAACAACTGCCAGTGGAATCGTGTACCGTCCTTATTACCTTTTTTTCAGGTCAGTGCAGCAAGCCATCCAGTGCGTGTGTGACATTTATTTTCTAGTGAATTAAATGTCTATCTGGTAATTGAAATCCATGTACTACGGCATTGTATTTTAAGGAAAATAGGGCCCTTAAACTTTATTTAATAACGAATAATATAAATCCCTGGCAGTTGTTGATTCCGATGTACATGTAATTATATGGCAAACGGCGGTAATCTTGGAATTTCTCTAAAATTCTAGGAAAAAATGCTAGTCACCCACCAGATATACATTATAGTCATGAGGACGTGGTAAACGCTTAAAATAACTTTACTTGATACAGAACACTGAATCATCCCTGTTGGTAGTTAGAACCTATGTTCTATGGAAAATAGCCTCCACCTCGGATTTACTCAAATTACCCAAGGTCACAAAAAAGTACGACTGTTCCTTACTTCTCTTCATACGTTGAAAATGCCAATATTTGTGGCTTGTTGACATTGGTTCTTTTCTTTAGGTGCACCCTAAGGAAGAAATCTGAGATCTAGCAAGTACTAGGGTGGCCAAATTAATGTTCGTGTTGCGTGAGATGTAAGGGTGAATGTTTACAATTTCTGCAGAATTTGTAAGGGAAAAATGGTTATCCTTATGGAACATTTTGGCAAAAGAAAGTTGGAGATGGAAAGTAAAATAGGTCGATTCTTATGGACCACCCTGTATTATTATGCCCTTGGCGTCCATCTTGATTTTTGTTATATTTCTCATGCAAGGACTCTTTGAAATTTTTAGTATGTCATTTAACAGACTTCAAATAGATAAGCCTGTGGCAAAACCATTCCAAGTTGCAATTAAGCTATAAATTGCTTGAACTCTCAAGCAGTCATCGGTAGAAGCAACCATTTACTAGTATTTTATGTACTATTGAATCCACCAAAACGGTGGCTTTTTTTAGGTCGCGTACAACCAATAGATGATAGGAGTGTTTACTCTGATTACGATAACATTTTCTACGTCTTGGGTTTGTGTCCAGAGTGGGTAGAGTCCAGATCATCCGTCAATCTTACCCCAGTCGAAACGGCCACTGACAACACACCCAAGGCAAAACACACACAGAATGTTCAGGCGTAGTGTAGATTCCTTTGTTCCAGGGGGTGGGCCGGGTGGTGTCTCGAAAAGAAACGTTCCAAAACACGGCAGAGATAACATGGAGATGTCGACCAACATTGGGATGCGGAGAGGAGAACCGAAAGACACTCCTACCTTAACACTCCACCAGGTAAGCTGTTTGTTCAAAAGGTAGCGACTGAACTTAACTGTCTGGAGATAGTTACGACAAGCGAGACTTAAAGATCTAGGTATTTGGCCAGATTTGGATTTTGTTTGAACTTTGGTTTACAATATTTCCATGATAATAGGCCTACTACTCTAATATCCTGTTGAACTGTTGTTTCCTTATCATTTTGTGTGATACCAAATGTCTGTCTCCAGCACTCCTATTTTGATGTACATACATGTACATACACGTATTTGCTGCTACAAGAATTAGTCAAATATGATCATTATAAAGGAAGCCTTCCATGTCTTTTCCCTAACCACCCACACCCTGCTGACTCTAGGAGGAATTTTCAAGTGTCCTGAGCTGTAGATTGTCTGAAATCCATCCATTTTTGTTTTATATGTAAAAGTTCACATTGAAATAAACAGTGTGTAGAAGCTTAAAGCTACCTTGCATTTGCAAGAAATGTCAGAAAGTAAAATGTCGAAAATAAAACAGGCCCCAAATATTGCTTAATTACTTTGAAGACCAAGCTACGACACTTCAAAAAAAAAAAAAAAAAAAAAAAAAAAAAAAAAAAAAAGAAAGGAGGGGTAGGTGGTATGATTCCTTTGAGATTCATCATTAAACTTACGATGACCTGTATTGTCCTAGCATTTGTAAATCAACAATACAAATTCTTAGCATATGACAAAGATAATGAAGAATGGGAATTTTTGATAAATAAAAAATATTCTAATTTCATATTTAAGGCATAAACCAATAAAAATATTTTAATGATGATTAAATTATTAGTATATGACAATCATAATAAAGAAAATCAAAGAATGAAATTCTGACAAATTATTTTTTTTATAATTTTATATATAGGGATTACACCAATAGAAAAAAGTTTAAATCATAATTTCCAAAGTTCATGTACTAACACTTTTATAAGTTCTGAGTTAAGTATTCCATAGGTATTTCATACCTGTTGCACTGTGTCGGTGTCCCTTTGGCTAAATATTTACCTATCCACAGTGTCAATAGAACCACCCTGGCTAAGTTGTCATATGACTCATAATCAGTTCAGTTAAATTAATTGACAAATTATCTATTGTGCAATGTCTTGTGAGGGGAAAGGGGGGTTTTAGTGGTGAGCATATACATTTTCTGGCCTCAGCTTTTACTATCCGATTCTGTACTCTTTTGAATTGACTAATAAGAATGACCACTGCATAAATTGATTTTAGTATGTGCTCTACAGAACAGTAACCGCATGGCTAAAGCCTCGGTCACACTGAGCTTGCTACCTTTTGGCTATATACCTTTTAGCAACCTCTGTCGCAAGGAGGTTGTCATAGTTTAAACAGCGGCTGCATAAGGTCGCTAGCAGATTGCCAGTGATCGTTCATACACGAAGGAGATCTTTTTGGCAGGTATCGGTGCGGATGAGTAACGGAGAGGAGTATCGTTGTGGGGAACTACAGGGATGTAGCCATTTTATTCAATGAATGCTCAATCAGTGTGTGTACATTTATTGAGCAACATAACTTATTTTTTCCTCTTATTTGTCAATTAACAGGGGTGAAAAATAACCATGTCTGTCTAACAAATATCTTGTTGTTTAATTATATGAAATTATTTTCTAATTCATTTTATAACTACTCTAAAGTGTGTCAGGGATGGCAACCCAGACAAGCTGCTTTATCTCCTGGACAACTTTGGCAATGTAACGAAGAAGATCAATGCTCTTGATGAAAGCAAACTTAGTCCACTTCATTATGCAGCCCGGTACAATCATTTTGAGGTGGTCAAAATACTGGTGGAAAGAGGAGCAGGTATAGAAATATTTGTTCTTCAATAATAAATATATCAATCTTTTAGCAGACTACGTGGAATCAGCTATGGAAAAACAGTGGAAGGGTTTTTGATAGAGCATACATCCAATTATATATAAGACATAGGGTTTGCCTTATTTATACAACAGCCTCAGTTCCACGTATGAATCTCATTTTGAAAGGTTTGTAAATAACCAAGATTGCCATTAAGATATCTGATGTTCACAAATTCTTAATGTCAGAGAATACAGCCCCGATTGCCAGATAGAGTGTATTAATTTAGTTTATCCCGATTTTGGGGGTAGGCACAATTCAAAAATGTTAATGGTTTTTAAAACGCATTTCAGATGTGAACAAAAAGGGAAAAGATGATCTGACTCCCCTGCATCTCGCAGCCCGTTGCAAGCGCATGAAGCGCACCAAATCTACTGACAGCCTGGATGAGGTAGAGGGCAACGGTGCACCATTGACCCCTGCTAGTAGTGAGGCCACAGTGGAAACAGCAGTGAGCAATGAGGAGGAGAGGGGAGATGGGGATGATGTGCCCAATGGAGCGGTATTACTGTTTATATCCATGCAATATCCTATGCATCATATGAATGTCCTTCCTTTTGAAAGAATTTACACCCCGTTTATTCTTGAGCTGTGATCGAATGGTTTACATTTACATTCATTTATTCCTGCTGCAAACGAATAAAGTAGCTTTTTTCCAAGCGAACCGTCCAGCCGTCATTTGGACGGTCGCTGGTATCACTGGACGGCCTAAAGACGTACATGACAACTTACGAATTTTTTTTTAAATGACGGCTTGGCTTGTCGGAGCGACCGTGGACGTCACGCACGAAACTCTTTTTGAGAACATTCACATCGAGAAGAGTCGAGGTCTAATAAGGCCGCGATCTTAATGTGGCGGACCTACATGAAAGGGAAACCGCTTAATCCTGTAATGGTTTCTCCGCTTCTAACACGGCTCCCCACGCGTCGTCCCTCGACCGGTTGAATTGAGCCGAGATCTAATTAGTGTGCCCCTGCAGGGACGACGCGTGTGAAGGCGTGTGAGAGGTGGGGAGACCATTAGTGGATTAAGCGGCCTTCCTTTCATGTAGGTCCGCCATATTTAGGTCGCGGCCTTACTAGACCTCGGCTCTTTTCGATGTGAATGCTTCCTTAGACTAATTGGACGTACCCAGCTTTTATGATCATGCGTCCGAGTTTAATTATACTTCATTGTAGTACACGCTGTTGTTCAGTTACGACGTAACCACTACCTAAAGCTGACAAAACACAATTTCAAAAATGTTTCTATAAACTTCATACATAGGCTACGGCACCTGACAACGCTAGCTGATAGACAAAAAGGCTATTTTCATATTGATCAGAAAGAAATCGTTAGCAGTTGTTTAATGGACTTCGTTCGCAAAGATTGTCAGCCGGAGATCGTTACCGATCCGAGCGAAACGAGGAGGCAATTCTAATATCTTAGTAAGAGATCCTTCGCTGTCCGAGCTAAACGAGAAAGCAATTTTCATATTCGATCATGGGACTTTGTTCGCGGAAGATCGTCAGCCGGAGATCCTTCGCGATCCAAGCGAGACGAGAGAGAGTCCCATTGCATGGGAGATATTAATCACAGTTCACGGGAAATGGAGTAATCAATACACAAATCCCAGTAAATAAAACTTCATTCATATCTCACCTATAATGCAAGTCGAAAATCCTGAAAATCATGAATCCCTGGGTATAATGACTTCTTTCACGAAGGGCGAAAAATAAAAGCCGCATTCACGTGTCACGAGAATGGGGTGCTTCACGGATCTCGCTTAATAAAATTAACGTTTCTTGCATCTCGCAGTATTAAAAATAGCTTTCACGGGTAACAAAATGTCCAATGGGACCCTTAAACGAGAAGCAAAAAGCCTTCCTTGTACATGTGGAAGGTGGTCAGGCAGAGATCGCTCTTGGTCCAAGCGAGACGAGAAGGCAATCCTCATGTTCGTTCAAGGGAGTTCGTTCGCTGGAGATCGTTATCGATTATTTTTAACCCCACTTCCCCCTTGAAATTAATTATTTTTTAAAATTTTTTTCATTTTCCTTTAAACCCCAACCCCCACCTTGCAAAAGTTGACGCCCTAAAATTTTGAAAGAAATTACAAATGGCGATTTTGGTCTGCCTGTACCCCAATTCTGGGAAAAGCCTTGCTCCCAAGTCTCCACTCAAGTATAATTCATTCTTTCTTAAATACACCTTTTGCATTTTGGCTTAATTAAACAACTAGGCATCCTATCATAATGCTACGTGCGCTAATTAAACAGAGGCTAATGATATCACCATGGTGGGATTTCATGTAATAAATGTAACCTGATACTAATAATGGATCACGAAGTCACAAGGTCCTAACAAAGGCTCTTAAGGTGCATGTATTGTTCTAGGTGAGAGAAGAGGCAGCATCTGATGATGAACTGGATAATCAGCCAAGTGTTGTAAAATACTTAATAGAACGAGGGGCTAATGTTAATGCTCAGGATTACTATGGTCTGACCCCACTCCATTTTGCTGCCATGCGAGGGAATGACCGTGTTTGCAGAGAACTACTGAGTGTGCCAGATATTTATATAGAGGTAGGCAGATTGGAATCGGATAAAAGACATTCATATTTATAAATTGCCAGATAGATGTCTTTAAAAGTGTCCTCTGAAACAGTCTGAAAATGACCATTTCTAAAAGATTTTGGTTTGTAACAGTTTTATGGTTTTAATTGGCCTTTAGGCAATGTGCAATATGATTGTCTTCTATAGTATAAACTAAGATATTTTAGTTAAATAGAGTGTTAAAGCATGTAAAATGATACCTGATTTCATTCAATATCTTATTCTTTATTTCAGGCCGCAGATAAGCAGCAGATGACGGCGCTGCACTTAGCAGCGGCCCATAGTTGTGTGGAGGTGGCACAGATTCTCATAGAAGCTGGGGCAAACCTGCGTTGCATTGATCATGAGTCATGTACTCCACTTCACCTGGCAGCGGAGAAGGGCAATATTGAGATTGTCGGCATGTTGTTTGATGCAGGACAGAAAAAAGATGGTTGGGTTACTTTGTCACAGGTATAAACTATTGGCAGTTGATGAGTTTTATGGTTGAATTGCTCCTGTCTTAATTAAAACTAATGCAAACAAATACTCTTTAAGTTGTATCAGTATTAGAAAGACAGGCCTTAATTTCACATTTCATTTTAGGATCAATTTTTTAAAGTGTGTTAAGCGTACAAAAGGATATATATTTATGTCCACAAGATGGTAGACATTCCAAGAGAGGTAGTGCCTGTTTCATTTAGCATTCGTAAAGACAGCTTAAAGAAGTGGCAATAAAGCTTCGGAATTTTTACTCATTACTCTATGCAACTTTTTTCTGCATACTTAAATTTGGCGTTTTTTTGCAATGTATTAGAACTTGATAATTTTTTCCTTAACTGTTGTTTATTTTCTAGATGGTAACAGATCAGAATGTAGAACAGAATACAGCCCTTCATCTTGCAGTCAACAATAGTCATTATGAAGTGGCCAAATTAATTATAGAAAAAGGTTTGTACATGCACGTATATATCTCATTTAAACTTAATTTTACATGCATTTACTTACCAGTAGCCTACATATCCAAGTGTATTGCATGAACTATATTTTATTTGTGGTTTTAATCCCTGAACATGATGTATAAAAATCTCAATCCAATCTCCAAAAAAAAAAAAAAAAAAAAAAAAAAAAAAAAAAAAAAAAAAAAAAAAAAAAAAAAAAAAAAAAAAAAAAAAAAAAAAAAAAAAAAAAAAAAAAAAAAAAAAAAAAAAAAAAAAAAAAAAAAAAAAAAAAAAAAAAAAAAAAAAAAAAAAAAAAAAAAAAAAAAAAAAAAAAAAAAAAAAAAAAAAAAAAAAAAAAAAAAAAAAAAAAAAAAAAAAAAAAAAAAAAAAAAAAAAAAAAAAAAAAAAAAAAAAAAAAAAAAAAAAAAAAAAAAAAAAAAAAAAAAAAAAAAAAAAAAAAAAAAAAAAAAAAAAAAAAAAAAAAAAAAAAAAAAAAAAAAAAAAAAAAAAAAAAAAAAAAAAAAAAAAAAAAAAAAAAAAAAAAAAAAAAAAAAAAAAAAAAAAAAAAAAAAAAAAAAAAAAAAAAAAAAAAAAAAAAAAAAAAAAAAAAAAAAAAAAAAAAAAAAAAAAAAAAAAAAAAAAAAAAAAAAAAAAAAAAAAAAAAAAAAAAAAAAAAAAAAAAAAAAAAAAAAAAAAAAAAAAAAAAAAAAAAAAAAAAAAAAAAAAAAAAAAAAAAAAAAAAAAAAAAAAAAAAAAAAAAAAAAAAAAAAAAAAAAAAAAAAAAAAAAAAAAAAAAAAAAAAAAAAAAAAAAAAAAAAAAAAAAAAAAAAAAAAAAAAAAAAAAAAAAAAAAAAAAAAAAAAAAAAAAAAAAAAAAAAAAAAAAAAAAAAAAAAAAAAAAAAAAAAAAAAAAAAAAAAAAAAAAAAAAAAAACTAATAATCTCTGCTAAATAAGTCACAATCTCTGCTAAAACTGTGATCTAGGGGAACTTGTGTGCATTATTTGACTCCTTTCCCTATATTGTAGGTGGGCTTGATAATGAAACATCCAAATACTTATCCACTCCGCTCCACCTTGCCTCTGTTGGTGGAGATGTACGGGTCGTGCAGCTGCTCCTGGACAGTAATGCTAGAGTGGACGCTCTTAACCACAACCAGGAGACACCACTCCATAAAGCTGCAGAGAATGACCACCCCGAAGTAGTGGAGCTTTTACTGAAAAGGTTAATAATTGATCACTGTAGTGCTGTGTACTGAAAAGCCTTTCTGTTCATTTTTAAAGGATTATTACTATTCAAGAAGTATTCAGTTTCTATGCGCCCCTCACCCTTTTAGCGTCTGTTGCACGATGTGAAGGAGGAGTAGGCCTATACTGATACCAGAGTCCATTGGAACTAAATAGGTACAATGCTTTTGACATTTAGGTGTATACTGGGGTGTTTGATATCTAAATTTTACCATTTCTTTATAACATTGCTATAGCAATGCAGACATTGAGAAGCGTAATGAGGATAACTGCACCGCACTATTGCTGGCAGCATGTTGGGGAAATCCTGAGGTGATCAAGGTTCTGCTCAAGTACAACGCCGACCCTAGTGCAGCGGACAAGAATGAGAAAACTGCCATTTTCTGGGCTGCAGAAAACAATCATGTCAGCTGTCTTCAGGTAGCTTAAGTCAGCTCTGTCTGTTCGGAAGAATTACAGATTTTTTTTAAAATAGAAAACTCATTGCCCAGGTTATTGAGGTTCAACATTCATGGCAGAATTTGAATAGAGAGTTATAATTTTTCAAGCAGAAGGGAACTTAACATAATAGACAATCTGCTTCTATCACTCCTCAAGAAGTTACAACTTTTTGCACTCCTTATAGTCTCCTTAAGCCCTTATTTCCAATGGCATATGTACTTCCCATCTACTGCGGGCATTCCATTCATTTCTTTTTCCAGCTTGTACCATGTGTCAGTAAAGCCATTCTTGAATATGATATGGTATTTTCTGTGTTTCAGGTTCTGCTGAAAAACCCAAAAGTAACAAAGCTGATTGATGAACCTGATCGCTATGGCAACACCCCACTCCATATTGCTGCACAGTTGGGCCACATCAACTGTGTAAAGGTACCAATATGCTATACACCCTTAGCAAAATATCTGGACTGCTGCAAATTCCCTGAGAAATTTAATTGCTGCAAATATGCTACATGTACAAATTTGCTGCTAATTTACTGCATATTTGCAGCAAATGTGCAAGAACATAAATACCCACCTCCAAACTTACTGCAAACTTCTTGCAAAGTAGCTGTTAATTTGCTGCAAATTTGCTGGAACATATAAAGACTTGTTTGCAGACCTGCTGCAAACTTTAAATCATCTTGAGATGTTAGCAGCAATACAAATTTTTTCTTACAAACTCTTGCAAACTGGCTGCCACAAACTTTTAGTTTGCAGCATATTTGCTGCAATATTGCTGCAAACTTCATTTTGCTAAGGGCATTCATTGACTTTGGCTGAGGTCAATATGCTGTTTTGTAGACCTAAAATCGATGTGGAGACAGGTATAGGCCTATACATGCATCACTTTTGTGAGGTCTGCAAAGCAACATATTGACCAGAAAGAAGTCAATCTTGTTTTTTACAGTATTACCAAATACCTGAATGTCAGTGTCTTTCAAGATAACACCAGAAATTGTTATCTGGCATTTTCATTGTTTTCATTTTCAAAATGTTTATTTTTTCTCATTAATTGAATCATCATTGAATATTGTGTTTGGTGATTTTTTAAAGTCAGAATTTATTAACATTCTCTTATATTATCAGTTGCTTATGGAGCACAATGCCATGGTGGACGACAAAAATGAAGATGAACAGACGCCGCTGCATTTAGCTGCTATGTATGATCAACCACTGTGAGTTTGTATTAATCTGTTTATCAGTATTTTAAAGATGAAAATTATGAATTTTAGATCTCATGCATCGATATGAAAAAAAATGTCATGGTTTTTATCTATTTGCATGAAAAATTATTATTATTATATTACAAGGTTTACAGTCACATGGAAGAATGCAAAAATAGGGCAATGTTTTATCCTTATATCAGTTCAGTCCCTAAGCAAGATGAAAAGTTTGCAAGAAGAATTTGATTGCTGCTTATTTGCAGCCATATTGCAGCAAATTTTTTGTAAGAAGGCATTGCAGTTTGCAGCGTTATTGGAACAAACTTGCTCAAGATTCACTGCAAATTTGCAGCAGGCCTGATATTTTGCTAAGAGTTTTCAAATAAATGATCCATATCATATTCAGCAGGAAGTACAATACATATGATTTCATCAATAAATGGTAACAACCAATAGTAAAATGTCAAATAATCACAGTTTTTTTTAACAGAGTTGTAAGAGAGCTTGTGAACAAGCAGAAGACAATAATATATGATGGAGATGAGGATTCAAACACAGCTCTCCACCTGGCTGCTCTGGCTGGTCATCAGAGAGTGATGGATGTGCTGCTGGACCTCGGGGCAGGTGTGGAGACTAGGTAACAGTATCCTTATACCGACTGTAAGTTGCGTGTGGGTGTGTGCATGTGCATATGTGCATTTGCATTTTGGAGTTTTATTCAAATGGGTGACCCATTTATTTCTCATTCAGATGTCTCGAGTTATACATATTTTTATTCACTCCTACACAACTGCATAAAATTAAACATTTATTGTGTAATAATTCTCAGTGAGAAACAATCACGAACTGCTAGTACAAACAATTTTAAGTATTATAAATTGCCATCAAACCAAGCTTAGTTTTTTAAATATGTCACAAAAATGCAATAAATATTTTGCATTGGCAATTTATGTACTGAACAAAAAAACAAAACAAGCTTAAGGATTTGTCCTGCAATCATTTTGCTGTATAAGCGAGCACATTTTAATTATAATAATAGAAGTTAACCATAGTTTTCACTTGTGTTTGTCATTCCTAGGAATGCCAAAGGTTGGACAGCTCTTGATTGTGCTGCCTACATGGGCAAGGTGAAGGCAGCAGAAACACTGCTGAAGGCACACAGTCCCATTGATCCACTTGATAAAGAAAAGGTACATGTAGAGACAAAAGAGCAATGTCTGTTCTTTAATTTTGTGTAACTGTTAAGGATATTTAATTTCCTGCATCAAATACACCTCCAAGACAATAACAAAAGAATGCAGCAGACAAGGCCAAATATCTCTGTATCCTACTAAAACATCCTTGCATTGGGTTTCACTTGTTTTTTAATACAACACTTTAAATTTGTTATCTTATCTTTAAAGCAATAAACAAGTATGTTTATTTAACAATCATAATTTTCTGGCTGGCTATATGTAAAGTTTGCCATAAAATGACTTGAGAGGACAATTAATTATAAGTGCAAAGCCCTTATTGAAAACTTCTAATTTTTCAGGTTACCCCTCTTCATTTGGCTGCCAAGGGTGGCCACACAGAGATGGTTGAATTTCTAATGAAGATGGGTGCAAACATAGCGCAGAGAGATCAAAATGGCTTAAACTGCCTGGATATGGCTATAGATTGCAACCATGAGTAAGTTGGACAAAAGGCTGTCACACTATTGTACATGTTATCTCATTTTAATCAATTTTTATAACACATTATAGGTGTTACTCATCCTCCTATTATGTAATTACGCTGCTGGAATCATGTTATAATGATGTAGTCTTTAATATTTTTTTCATTTATTTTAATCATTTTTGAAAGTTATCTAACCTATAGCTTGTCTGCGGAGATTAATTCTCTTTTCTTTTGGATCAATAATATCGTTCTAGAATTATCTTGCTGTGTAGTTGAATTTGAGAATGGGATTGTGCATTATAATAATTATAGTGCAATTCACTGCATGTGTCTTACCAGATACATGGTTTGTAACAGTACATAATAATATAATAAACACATATGTGTAATTGTGCTGCCCATTAATTTATTTATGTAACTTTGTTGCTTATTTATTTGTATAATGCTATGTAGTTTGATGTTTTAGCCTGACCTTCATGTAATAAAACAGTTATAAACTTTGTATTTCGGTCACCAGAAAATGGTATTCTACCCAAAGCTGGGGTATTTGATCAACATTGAAGTCAATAATTCTAGAATATTGTTCATTTCAAAATTTTATCGTGCATTCAACAGTATATTATGTATTGGTTCATAATAATTATTATGTTAGCCTAAATAATAATAGATTAGTATATAGACATTGTACAAAATGTGGTTGTATCCATGGCCATAAAGGAATAATAATAATAATAATAATAAGTATATTATTATTATAATATATTATTATAGGAATGTTGCCATGGCAATTGTTAAGTCGGACAAGTGGGAAGAAGCTATGAAAAACCAAACAGCAGTTTCCAAAGATTTAGGAAAGGACACTCCCCTTAGGAAACTAATCCGCAAAATGCCAGGTAAGGAAGTTTACTTGAACACTATGATATAGAGTAAAAAATTCTCATTGTCTGTAAAATAAATCTCTGTAAAGTTGTTTTCTTATAATCAGATATGATCAAGAGACATAACTCTAACATGTTAATCACACCATGACAGAGAGTTTTACTTTGAATGTAATTCTCCATTTGTTGAATTTATTTTTGTTGAAAGTTTTTCATCCCATCATACCACTGTTGCCACATTTTAAATGATTGTGCATACTAGGATACATGTATAAAGAAAGCGTCTAAAAGGGGTACAAAGGACGACAATTTAAATGGTTATTTAATTTTAAGCAGATGTTGCAGAGAAAGTGTTTAACAAGTGCATGAAACCCAACATGACCAACCTTGAAAACTCAGATTGTGAAATAATATTCAACTATGAATACCTGGATGACACGTTTGCCGACTGGGGAGAGAAGAGTGATGATGGATCCTGCTCAGGTAAAAAAAACTGTCCATGATATACAATTTTATTCAGTTGCCGGTTTCAATAAAAGAGCTATATAGTGGTGTCAAGGTGTACATAATCCTCTGAAAATGTCAGTTTTTTCAGTTTCGTTTGCAGTCCACTGCAAAATGTTTAAGTTATTGCAGCCTCCTTTGCAGTCCCCTGCAAAAATATTAAAGTTATTGCAGCCCCCTTTGAAGTGTGCCTGCTCAAGGAGACAGTTGCACACTGGAGCCCCAGACTGCAAATTAAAGAGCAGTCTCCCTGGCAGTCTCTCTGGCAGCCTGGGCTCCCATTCCAGCTGACTTTTTGCTGGGGGGAGAGATATACATATATTATGTATAATTAGTGAGCTCTATGTTTGCCTTTCAGATTCAATTTATGATGAAGACACACATATCATTAAACCTGATGTCCCTCCATACTCGAAGGATTCAAGAATTTTGAAGAAAAACCATCCATTGCAGATTATGGTATATTACTTATATATATTGCAACATTATTTAGTAACATCTGTACTGAATCGTCAATCTTAATATTCTGAAGGTTCATTGGTCCTAAGTTTCATTTGTCCAAATTAAAGATTCTTAACATTTTCATCATTTTTTTTTTTTCAATAAAATTGTTCATTAATCTGAAGGTCATCTACAGGGTAATAGTCCATGCTGTCATGCACCCATTCATACAATTATCATTTGGCAATCACAATTGCAATCACAATTAAAGCACTGGTTCTTAAAACCATGCAAAATATTTTAAAAAGTAAGTGATATATATTCTGCTCATATACATGTATCTATAGTTTATGATTATTTCATTTTACTGACATATTACAGGTGTCCTCAAAAAGAGAAGACTTGTTGAGTCACCCACTGGTAGCCAGCCTGCTGAAACACAAGTGGCAAAAATTTGGAGCTGCCTTCTACTATATTAATCTGATCATTTACAGTGTATTCCTGACATTCCTGACAGGTTATATGCTAGTTCATGAACCCCCATATATGCTGGTGAACTAGTAAGTATTGGAAGTATTTATAATAATTATAAGTACCATGAGGGTGCATGCAGTTCTGCTGTAGGAGATAACAATCACAAACAAATAATGCTTAAACCCACATTATTTATTTATTTATTTATTTATTTATTTATTTATTTATTTATTTGTTTGTTTGTTTGTTTGTTTGTTTATTTATTTGGTAATATACCATGTCTGCTCATTGGTTGTTATTTCTTTAATAGATGAGATTAAGAGAGACTAAGATTGTAAATGTGGGGCAGATCATGAAAATCAAAATCACTTGTGCTGGTTTTAAGGCGGAAATATCATGAATTTATTTGCAAAATGTTTAAACAAAGTGCCTTCTTTGTCTTTTCACTTTTTCTAGCACTGCCTGGAATGGGACTGATATCAATGCAGTATCCTGTCAGGAACTGGCCAGCTTTGGCTTACACCAGCCTGTACAGTATCCCATAGCATTTCTGTTGTTTGGAACCATAGGGAAGTGGATAGTTCTGGCACTAGCCATAGTTACAACATTCAGGGAGGTAATTGGAAAATACACTGTAATTCTGATACCATGGGCAAAAGTTGTATGTTGAAGCTAAAATACTGCAGTATTTTAATGTTATGTATATTATTTAAATGAAATCTGAGATAGATAAATTCAATTATAATTGCAGCAACTTATTTTCGTAGTGGCAAAATATATATTTATATAATCTTACATAAACATGAGGACTTAGGTGATTCATTCATCATTCATTTGGGTGCCATTCACTGTCAGCAGATTGGCTGTCACGGATCACTATTTCTCTAAATCTTGCACCATTGTTCACTATGTATATATTTTTTAATTAGTCCATTAATTTTTGTTGCCCACCCATGTTGTTCTTGGTCTTCCTTTCACACTTTTCCTGCAATCAGCAACCAATGCAAATTATCTTTTTTATGATGAGACCAAAATAAGTTAAAGGTGAATTTCTTTTCATGGTGGTGAGAACGATGTGATTTTTTCTTCAGTCAACAGCTAATATTGAGATCGCAATATTAGCTGTTGACTGAAGAAAAAAATCACATTATTCTTATAACATAACACAGCTGATGAAATTCTACTCTGATTTTCTTGGTGGTGTAATAATGATGACCTTTTAATTTTTATAGATTGTGTAGCAACCCCTCATTTCTTTTCTTCTTAGTCCATGATACTTTAAACATCCTTCTGTACACCCACATTTCAAACATTCCTTTTTTTTTCATTGTTGTTTTGTTAGTGTCAATTTCTCTGAGCTGTAAAAGCATTAGCATTTAATGATAGGCAGCCAAAGATTGATGCTAATGTATCTTGAACTTTATATATAACTTTCACTAAAATTTAAAATGCTAAATCTTGCAATTTCTATTCTCTACACATTTTTTTCTCCTCATTAATATTCCTTTTGTTTTTGTTTGCTTTATTTCCATTCCGTAGGGTTTTCATTGACTGATCATTACTAACTTTTGTAATTCTGAATTAGTTTCTGTTTATGAAGCTGTACCATCTGCATATCTCTGATTATTAATTATAATGATTCCTTCTTTATTCACAGCTTTCATATCTTCAGCTTCTCTGAATATTTTTTCAGTATATAAGTTGAAAAAAATTGGTGATAAGGAGACATTACCCTGTCTACACCTTTCTTTATTTTGAATTTAGTTGTAACTTCATGCTCTGTTCTTTAACTGCAACTGTCAGTGTTCCCAGTTATTAAGATGAAGTTCCAGGTTATTTTAAAGATGATGAAATCATGTAAATTTCAAATATTTTTTTTACAGTTGTATCAAATATGCTACTCAAAGATGAGCTATGTGAATGTAGAAAACCTTATTGAATGGTTGATATATGTGCCTGCATTCTTACTGGTGATGGACTGGGATTCATGTCAGATGAGCAACCCTCATATCAGGCATGTGAGTAATGATGCAATTGTGCTTCATTTTTATTTGTTTTAACTACATTATTGATGAAAAGGAATAAAAATATGCCATTGGGTTATCTTTTTGTCATTCTGATTAATAAATAAATGAAATATGCAATTGTGCCTTTTTAAATTCCCTATCCTTTAAGTTCCATTTTGTTTGTTAATACTTTTCCTTTATACAGTTTTATGCAAGTTTAAAACATAAATTTTAAGTGTTAACATTATATGTAAATATATTCAAGATTTTTTAAATTTGTGTACCCAAAGATATTCTCTGTCAACATTTAGCCATGGCAGTGGAACGTGGGAGCCATTGCACTATTCCTGGCCTGGATTGAGCTGTTGTTGTTCATAAGAAAGTTGCCAAGATTTGGAATCTATGTGGTGATGTTCACAGACATCCTCTGGACCTTCTGCCAATTCTTCCTTGTCTTTGTTTTGTTCATAGTGGCCTTTGGATTGACCTTCCATGTGTTGTTGAAAAACCAAGTGAGGAGAAAAGAAGACATTCTTGTTGTGTACCTTAAATATAATATAGTCCAGCTTAAATGATCATTCCACTTGCACACCATCCAGACCATATAAATTGTGTATGTGCTGTTTTGCAGAACAATATCTGTGATTGCATTCATCAGCTTTTATAAAATATTATTAAACCCAAGTCCAATATTTGAAAAATAAAAGCATGAACAATTGAGATTTCAAAGTGTACCTATATAACTTAGATCACATTTAATGAAGAACTTAATTCTCATCACTTAAAGTTTGATTTCAGGCGTCATTCAGCTCTCCAGCCAGATCTTTATTGAAGACCACTGTAATGATGATAGGAGAGTTTGAGTTTGATACTCAATACACTACAGAGATCACACCTGAGGGGCAAAACATGCACAGTGATCAGGTCTACTATGAGGGGGTCACATATACCATCTTTATTCTCTTCTTGGTTCTCATGTCCATCCTTATCATGAATTTACTGGTGAGGTGAAACAAATATGTGAATGCATTTGTGTGTTTGAAGATATATTTTATGACTTAGATATACGTATACTACACATAAAACTCTCACCTGTATTGAATATTGTATTGTGGTTTTTGGAAAGAAATCACTTAATAAAATAAGTTATTTTCAAGCACTTTCCAAATTTCCAACCACTGTGTCTCATATTTCACAAGTAAAATTTTTCATATTTCTTAAATTTCGCTTAATCAATTTTTTGTTACAGTAGTTTTATTTTATTTTATTTTATTTTTTTTTTTTTTGGGGGGGGGGTGAAGCTTCATTTTCTCTACATGTATTAAAAAGGGGTAAAAGTGGGAAATGTAGTGAAGAATTACAATTCAAATGAAAATGGATTTATAAAACGTAAGTATGACTATTTCGCAATACGATTTTCCCCAGGTTGGTTTGGCTGTAGATGATATTAAAGCTGTCCAGGACCAGGCTGTATTAAAAAGACTAGCTATGCAGGTGATATATTTACTTGACTACAGATTCTACTGTTACAGTACTTCATTTCACATGTTAATCAGATTAATCTTGTAAACCTTTTTTATTTTGGTTAGTCTTTGTTATATACAGATTAACGTAAAGACATTAATTGGCTGTAGAGTCAATTTATGAAGAGATCTCCATTTTCAGGTTGACTTGGCATTAGATGTGGAGAATCAAATACCTATCAAATACCGGAAAAGGATGGTAATTAAGCAAGAGGTACTGAAACCTAAACAACAGAGCTGGTTTACCAAGGATAAGCCCTTGACATCTGCATCCGTTGCACATATGTTGCAGCCAGAGCTGGTAAGTATATATTAATTTCCATATAAACATAAAGACTGAGTATAGTATTTTGTAAACTTATTAGACAGCCGTGTAGTATATATGCAACAAATACGTTTTGTTAATTGTATCACCTGCACAGCACTGGTGGTACAAATGGCTTTTGTCCTAACCCCTCTCGTTGGCTGGCTCCATTGCCACATCACCATTAACGCTCTCCTCCTAGACTCCATTCCCATAGATTTTAGATCGATCTATCCCAGTGGGGAGTCTCACTAGATTACTGTCAGGTTAGCCAGCTTAAGCGTCTGTCCTGCCTACTAAAAGCTGTAAGGGGGTAATTAACTATGCGCTCGACTGACTGCAATTTAGCGTGAACCCCCAGGGAGTTAGGTCGATCTAAATCTAAATTTCTGGATCAATCTAAATCTCTGGGAATGCACCCCTAGACTACAAGAGCCTGTGTAACTCATCTCTTGGATGTAGGTCACATATAATTTTAACTTGATCCATGTAAATTTTGGGCTTTGTCGGTGCACTGGGCTAGGTGTGGCACTCGTTGCAATGCACCCTTGACCAAAATTTGAAAAATTACTATAGATGTGAGACTGCTCGAAAGTCACATGTGGAGATTTCAAGTATGCCCTTGGATGAGACCTTTGACCTTTATTTCAAGGTCAAACAGGCTAAAATATTGTAAAAATTCTTTTTGCAAAAAAAAAAAAAAAAATTATTTGTGCTGATTTTTAGAAACTACATGGACCTAACCTATAATATTATGGGCAGGTGTTAATTACACTTGGGGTCATTAGATGCCAAAAATTGAGAACTCTTGTTTATTGCATTTTGTAGAGCTTGTCAAGCATTTTTTTTTTCCATACAAATGAGCTTACCCCAACTGGTGGTACAATACCTGGAGGCAGTATCGCCTCTCTTTCCTTTAGGCCTTACACTGTACTGTACCACTGTACATGGCGCTCTGAATTGTCAGTGTGTCCAGTTTTCTGTGTAAAATTGTAACTCGAGACACTGATGTTACAATTACACACTCTGATTTTTGCTTCTGAAGAGCTATTAAAGATGGTTAGGTCTCTTAATTATCTTAATAACATGCATGTAGGGTTGAACCTTTAAAGAAGCAAGCATGAGTGAAACAAAATAAAATTTTTAGACATGATGTAAAACAGCTGTTGGTACAACAATTTTTCTCTTCCAGGACCGCATCAATTTCATAGAGGAACAACAGAAGTTGACCAGAACAGATATCTTGAAGTTGAAGGGACAGGTGAGGGCTGAGGTGAAGGCCCTCAAGTCCTGTACAAAGCACATTGAGACCATGATGATGACCCTGATGAAACATAATGCGATCGACTGGGAGGAAGAGGAGGTTGTGGATGACCAGGATGAACTCAATTTGTCTTCTCTGGGAATTTAAGTACTGTCGTTAAATTATATTTGCAGATAATTGACCCAAGGGGTAATTGAAGATGAATACCATTTTCTATACCAATGCCTTATGTACAAAGTAGACTGAGACACCTTTTTAAGTAAAATCTCAACCCTAAAAGCTGATACAAGGTCACCAGACAGTCAATTATGCCAAGTATTTAACAGCACCAGCAAAGATATTTTAGTCTCCTTTCCAATTAATATATAATAAAATCATTCAAGAAAAGAAATGAATTGGTTGCTCTGCTTGGTAACTCTTAGGATATATTAAAAAATGTCATTTTATGTTCCAACTGTTGTGAGAAGTGACTAGGCAGTGGGACTAAATATGGCACACGGTCAAAAGTCATAATATTTATACCTGTGTAACTGTGTTATTTACTTATCCATTTCTTATGTAATTGTAGTTCTCCTTCTCTTGAAAGTTTGAACCGCTCCTTTTGTGTAACATGTGATTGTATCCATATGCCTCTCTCTTTTATAATTATGGTAAATTTATAATTACACCAAGGTTCATCTCACCCATAATTTACCTGGTACATCTGTTCATTATATATATATATATATATATATATATATATATATATATATATATATATATATATATATATATTTTTTTTTTTTCACTCACAAAGAGGCAACACAATTACGAACTAGAGAAATGGTAATTGTCGATAATCCCTTTTTCTAATGTATATAGTAAGATCTAAAAAGGTACATTAAGCCATCTTGCTTAATTGTCTGCATAAGGAAAAAGTTTAAGAATCTTTGTCTTAGTTTACGATTGAAAGAGTTGGATCCCCACAAATATAATATGTGGTTAGAATGAACTGAGCAAGCAACATGTGAACATTAAACACAATATTTATATATTTCAACTGGCTATTGTTGTCTGTGTTGGATTTCCTCAGAACATTTCCTATATAAATAATTTGACCACAAATTAGTTGTATTAGTGCTTTTTTGTCCACTGCAAATAAAAGTTTACAATGGCACCACCTTTAAAGCCTATTTTTAAATATCATCTTTCACTAAATTTGTTCAGTTTTGGACACATTTTGGCATTCAGCTCACCAGTTAAAATTTCCAATTCGCAAATTTTACTTGATACACTGAAAGGATATTCCACTGAGAGAAGAGGAAGAAATTGACATATGTTCTATAAGTGCAGTTCACAAAATAATGAACAGCACTAAACGGCGCCTGTGGTGTAATATTACACTACAGTATAAAAACATGATCGTTGGACAAATTTAATTTTTTTTTCTTTTTCAATTTCAAATAAGATTAATGAGCAGTGCCACGTAATTTTATGGTCAATCAGACTCAGAATTGAAAAAAAATTGTTTATACAAAAGAGTATGTTAAATCAAGTGTACATGTAGGTGATATAAAAGCATATATTTATAAGCACCATCATCAAGGGGTTCCCTGGGGTCAGTTGTAATTTTTTCCATTTAGCTTGCAAACAGGCCTTCCCAATGCATTTTTCCATTTGCAAAAAAAAAAAAAAAAAAAAAAAAAAAAAAAAACAAATTTAGGGTAAGCCCCGCTCCTGGTTAGTTAGCCAACTAATCAATTTACATGGCCTATTTTTAATATAATATTGATGAGTAACAATGTCGGTAATGTGAAGAATGCATCGGGGAAGTAACTACCAGTATGCAGGAGAGTAAAGATGCGGGGAAGCAATGATGCAGGGGATTTTCGGTGTGGGGAGTTACGATGCGCGTATACGGTAATAATACAGGGGTTGGTTCAATTAATGCAGGGATCTATTGGTGTAGGGTTTATCTTACGCATAATGCACAAATTTACAAAGAGGGAATATTGGTGCGGGGAAGTATTTTTTTCACGAATAGCCTATATAGATAAAAGGTCATTTCAACAATCGCGTAAACAACAACTCCCAAGTGAATTCACGGCATGTTTACCACAATTATGCTGGATGGCAGGAGGATGGTATGTTACGGTGTTTCCACATACAATGTAACACTGAATCATGCCATACTTGTAGTAAAATGGGGTCATAGGTCAAATGAATCAAATTTGAAGCATATTCAAAAAAATAAACCAGTAAAGTTTATCTTTTCAGGTAATATAAGCTAAGAATGTGTTTTCTTAAGGTACATGTACGTTTGATAAAGTCTGTCTGGTTGTTGGTGCACCAGAGTTTTGAAAAGATAAATTGGATGGGAGGGGGAATGTAAGGCTTCGTTCACATGGAATGTCTATTTTCTAAAAATCTATTTTCTATTCGCACTATCTTATGATCACGGTCTGTGCCCTGAATATCCCGCCGCGTAATTACTGGCAGCGCGAGCCAGTTACTTGTAGTAACTTATAGTAACTGGTTCGCGCTGCCAGTAATTACGCTGCGGGATATTCAGGGCACAGACCGTGATCATAAGACATACCGCAAATAGAAAATAGAATTTAGAAAATAGACATTGCATGTGAATGAAGCCTAAGCCTTTCACTAGTGTGTACATTACTGGAGTAGAACTACAGTAACTACCCCGTAGTAGTACCTGTAGCACAATATACTGGTAAACATAACAAAATTGTCTCTGTTGTACCATTTTACATTTTTTATAAACTTCATTTTACTAAAAATTACATGTTTTGTTGGATAAAAATATATTATGTACATATCACCACATTTTACATACATAATAAAAGCACTATTAATTCTACATGCATGCACACTGGTTCCAGATGCAATACTTTTTAAATGCACAATCCAAGTGAAACATTGTATTAATAATGGTCCACAATTTTTACAGTTGCAGTATTAGAACATGAAACCTAGAAATAAATTGAAAGTTCATGTATTAAATAATAATTGGCAACATAATTTTTTTCTACTAACATGCACACCCTAAACTTTCCATTTAGGCCCTTTACTTTCCAGGCTTCACAAAAGCTTTCTTGAGATTTGTTTAAAAGAATACCCACATTAAGAAGCAGTCATTGTGAATTAAAGTTTTTATGTCATGGAATTTTCAATTTTTTATATGAAAACAAGCCCATGATAATAACCAGCTGCCATTTACTGAGCAGATAGTGAAGACAGTGGTGCCCCCTATTGTGCAGATAAGGCTGGTCTGAACTGTGGTGTTGGTCTTCCCAGTTGTTTGACCTCCACTTCCTTAAATTGCACTGTAGGGACTCGAGATGGAGAGGCCGAAACATTACTACCCTTGCCTGGAAATAACAAAATTGAACATTTTAAAAATGGAAAATGAAAATAAATATAATTTATAATCTACAGGGCATCATTGTTAATGCATAAACTTTAATGTAGTGTATTTTTACTTACAATATTCAAATTAATGTATGAAAACCTTTACAGTCAACCATTTCAGCTGAACTGTGCTTTTCCCATCCTTTCACCAGGTTAAGAGATACAATAACATCAGTAATTGATAAACACCCTGCTCATATCACAAATAAACACTTTTTCTGTACAAAATCATTAATGCCACATACAGCATATGAACATGCAGACCACAAATTTAAACTTATCAATATGAATGCTTACTTGCTGCTGAATGTTTTTTAGAATGCATAATTCCTCTCTCTAATTCACTGAATTCAGTATTTCCATGAAGTGGGGGAGGAGGGCGGCGGGGGCTGCGCTCTCCTAGTGTTGGCTTAATACCAAAGCGTCGCGGATCCTCTAACCTTTCCTGTCGCCTGTGCTCCACATGACTTCCTATGATTTCCTGAGCCTGGAAAAATAATAACATCCTTAATATTTCACGAAAGATTCAAACATATATAACTGAATTTGATATACTGGCTCCAAAACTACATGTAGTTTTCACACTACATGTAGTTTAATAATAATAATAATAATGGCACCAAAATTTTAAATACTCCAATACCACAAATGAAGTATACTAGCACTGTGGTGGGTCTTTCTACTCCTTAACTTTCTTGAATTTTTCTGCAAAATTATTAACTTGAAATAGTAAGATGATTTTGTTAAATATATGGCTCTCGCATACAGTACTAGTAGATGCAATGATCCACACTTGTCTTAATACATACACATTCTAAGCCTCATGAACCTACTTTTTGTTGTCCTAAAATAAAGCTGTTATCTGCCATGAGCTCAGTAATTCTAAGGTTGTTCTTCACAGCTTGTGATGCTGTAGAGCGCGCATGCATAGGAAGCTTTTCCTGATACTGTCGGTCTGTGAAATCAATCTCATATTCAGATGGCAATCGTCGTACTCTTCAAGAAAAATGAAATAAAATTAAGAATAAAAAAAATATCAAATTTTCCCTAAATTTAAGCATTTATCTATTCAATCACATATCACTGTCATTGTCTACACATACTGTTGCATATTGTTCAATCTTATTTTTTCTTTTTCCTCCTTTCTTTTTATTCCTAACTTAATTTTACTATTTTATTTATCATAATTTTTTGCAATGAAAAAAAATCAAAACTGTAATGATTGTAGTGGTAAGGGGAAAAATCAAAATTATTACTTCATTGCTTTAACTTAACTTTTAGGTTACTGTACCTAAAACCAATTAACTCAAATATACAATCACCTATCCCAACTGAACCCCCTGTGTAAATAGTGAAAATATAATATACATTGTATAACTTACTGTCTATTTGTAAGAATTTCATATATGCTTTCTATTAGCAGTTTAGCAGCTCCCTCCTTGCAGTGTATTGTGCCTTCTACATATTCTTCAGGAATTGCAAACTTATGCCTTTTGAAAAACTGGGAAAAAAATTAAATGTTTTTTATCATAAATGAGTAAAATATTCTACTTTTCTATTGTTAAAAACTCAACAAATATTTAACTCATTGTATAAAATTTTCCTAGTGACTCTATGTGCTCATATACATCATGTCCAAATAGCAGTAAATAATACATAAATAAAAACAAGAGGGTTGCATGAGATTAATGATTCTAATGTTGTACCCTACACTGGAACATGTATATGTTACCAAATGGATGGATCGCTTGTTACATGTAAATCACAAGAGCAATTACATAAACAACAATGTAAATCCAGAAAAAAAATCAAAATCCATGTATATTTTATCTGTGTAATAATTTTCATTCATTTGTTCTTTACTTACATTTTTAAGGACGTGCCAATTTAACAACTTCATATCAAGTGACGTGCCATTATTGAATGAGTGCATTGTGATTTCTTGTGGGTAATACCAAGAGAAGATCTCTGCTATTAGGTAGCCATTTGACAAATCCCTGAAAAATATAGTTAACTAACTGCACTGCATTATACTCGTATATCAGTGTATGCACATGTTACTCTTCAATGGTGTTGAAAAAATGTTTGTACGCTGGATTGGAAACAATTAATTAAAGTTCAAACACATAAATGAAATTTCAAATACTTCACTGTTATGGTTTCAGTACACATATATTGATTATGGCATATTCAACTAATCAATGAGCAAAATCTCGCCTAATGGTCACATGCAAGAAATTATAGTATATTTAGCATAAATTTGTGTCCAAGCCCGTGCCAAATACTGACGTTAAGAGAAGATTTCCAGGTCAGAATATCAATTACTCACCATTTTGGTGTTTTTACTTGCCAAGTTAGATCTAAACTCTGAAGCCACCTGACAACTTCTCTTGCTAGACCTGCCATGATCGTACAGGACACAGTACTCGCAAAAACTGTGACATATGACAAACGTGTTGCTGTTGTTGTTATTGGCGACTTACAGGACCGCACAAAATGATAATTATCTTTTGATTGAAACATATTAATGGTGACTATAAAGACTGTTATGCTCTTTGTCGTACTTTTTAACATACAATTTTATTAAGCATTTAAATTAATCTATTATATGTGTAATAAACGATATTTTATATTCTTTTTTTTTTTTTTTTGGCTAATCAATACACTTGATTTCATTTACTCCGAAGCTAAGCGTCCCCCGCGATAAGTTGAACTTCCTATCAGACCAACACCCGGAAATTGTAGGGAGAACAAAAATTTAAAGTATCACCCTTTGAATAATATTTTCGGCTTAATCATCCGGGTGTTTTCAAGTGTGTGAAGCACTAGTGGTTGTAAAACAAAATCAGTCGGCAATACGTACATGTAGGTGAGTTTGCATCGATTTATGCTCGGCGTCCTTTCTTGTCAAGTTGGTACTGGCGAGTTGGTACTACTAATACTACTTCATCGGAATTTCTTTAAGGTTTCATTCGTTATAGGGCTATAATATTACTCTAAATTTTTATGCAGAAAACATCTGTGAGAAAAAAGGACCATTTCACTCAGAAGCAGCAGCTAGTCTTATTGACATTGGGTTGATAAATCAGACACTTCAAGACGGTGTTTGGGGTAAGCATGCAGAGAAAAACCAAAACCGGTGTGNTCCTAGTGACTCTATGTGCTCATATACATCATGTCCAAATAGCAGTAAATAATACATAAATAAAAACAAGAGGGTTGCATGAGATTAATGATTCTAATGTTGTACCCTACACTGGAACATGTATATGTTACCAAATGGATGGATCGCTTGTTACATGTAAATCACAAGAGCAATTACATAAACAACAATGTAAATCCAGAAAAAAAATCAAAATCCATGTATATTTTATCTGTGTAATAATTTTCATTCATTTGTTCTTTACTTACATTTTTAAGGACGTGCCAATTTAACAACTTCATATCAAGTGACGTGCCATTATTGAATGAGTGCATTGTGATTTCTTGTGGGTAATACCAAGAGAAGATCTCTGCTATTAGGTAGCCATTTGACAAATCCCTGAAAAATATAGTTAACTAACTGCACTGCATTATACTCGTATATCAGTGTATGCACATGTTACTCTTCAATGGTGTTGAAAAAATGTTTGTACGCTGGATTGGAAACAATTAATTAAAGTTCAAACACATAAATGAAATTTCAAATACTTCACTGTTATGGTTTCAGTACACATATATTGATTATGGCATATTCAACTAATCAATGAGCAAGATCTCGCCCAATGGTCACATGCAAGAAATTATAGTATATTTAGCATAAATTTGTGTCCAAGCCCGTGCCAAATACTGACGTTAAGAGAAGATTTCCAGGTTAGAATATCAATTACTCACCATTTTGGTGTTTTTACTTGCCAAGTTAGATCTAAACTCTGAAGCCACCTGACAACTTCTCTTGCTAGACCTGCCATGATCGTACAGGACACAGTACTCGCAAAAACTGTGACATATGACAAACGTGTTGCTGTTGTTGTTATTGGCGACTTACAGGACCGCACAAAATGATTATTATCTTTTGATTGAAACATATTAATGGTGACTATAAAGACTGTTATGCTCTTTGTCGTACTTTTTAACATACAATTTTATTAAGCATTTAAATTAATCTATTATATGTGTAATAAACGATATTTTATATTCTTTTTTTTTTTTTTTTGGCTAATCAATACACTTGATTTCATTTACTCCGAAGCTAAGCGTCCCCCGCGATAAGTTGAACTTCCTATCAGACCAACACCCGGAAATTGTAGGGAGAACAAAAATTTAAAGTATCACCCTTTGAATAATATTTTCGGCTTAATCATCCGGGTGTTTTCAAGTGTGTGAAGCACTAGTGGTTGTAAAACAAAATCAGTCGGCAATACGTACATGTAGGTGAGTTTGCATCGATTTATGCTCGGCGTCCTTTCTTGTCAAGTTGGTACTGGCGAGTTGGTACTACTAATACTACTTCATCGGAATTTCTTTAAGGTTTCATTCGTTATAGGGCTATAATATTACTCTAAATTTTTATGCAGAAAACATCTGTGAGAAAAAAGGACCATTTCACTCAGAAGCAGCAGCTAGTCTTATTGACATTGGGTTGATAAATCAGACACTTCAAGACGGTGTTTGGGGTAAGCATGCAGAGAAAAACCAAAACCGGTGTGACTGAAATGCGCAATAGGTGTGACTGAAATGCGCAATACACTGCAATACAGCGCAACACAGCGCAATACACTTGATAACACAAGTCCAGTTGCAAGTAAACACAGGAAAGGGTAATCTCAAATAAAATAGGGTGATATAAAAGCAAAATATAGTACATAGAAATTAATATTGCTGATACAACTTGACAATTTTTTCATTGCTTGGTCAGCCGCCATGTTGGCGAGTAGCTCTTCTTGGCCAGTAATATATCCAAGAAGAGCCACTCGCCAACATTGCTGCCAACCCGACAATATAAAAGTCTTGCTGATTTGTTAAGGTATATCAACGATATTACTTACCTAGTAATATAGGTTGTTTTTATGTCACCCTACTTTGCTGGGAATGGTCATTTCTTTTGTGTAATTGCAACTGGATTTGATTTTTTGAAGTGTTTTGCACTGTGTTGCGCTGTATTGCGGTGTATTGCGCATTTCAGTCACACCGGTTTTGGGTGAGAAAAACGGTGAAAAGACGTATCAAGAGCATGAAAGTGTAAATTTCTTGAAGGGTGAGTTTAGATTTAAATAGAAAAATAGAAAAAGAATAGTTTAAAAAAATATTTGAGAGTTCAAAGCTAAATGCTCATTAGTCAGATTGTATGTATGTATACATGTTTACAGTACACATTAACTTGAAGGCCACTCCAAGATTCTTGTTAAAGATATAACTTGCTTTTTACTGCAGGGACAAACACATTGTACCTACCTGATAACAAATGACACAATTCTCTACTGTGAGCACAGCAGAAAATTATCTTGACTTAGACAAAGACATATCTGGTGAGAAAATTCAAGTTAATCTGTTGCCCTGATTAGGGGGTACACTTAATGAAATTTGCACTTTACAAATACCCCCCCCCCCCCTTAATACATAACTGAAGAATATATATTTGATAATAAATACATTTTGTGTGTTATGATATTTCAGAAGGCACTAGTAAAATAGATGAAACTTCATGGTTGGTTAAAAGTGCCACAGTCCAGCATTTTGAATGGCCACCCCTGGAGTCGAGACCTCAGCTATTGGTCTCTTGAAGCGTGCAGTTGAACTGGACGGTGAAAAACGTTTTACAGAGTCGCTAGTATGCTATCAAGAGGGGATCCAGCTGTTACTTGATGTTCTTAAAGGTAAATATGTAATTTATCTGTAAGTGTCTCTCAAATTATACAGGAACCAGTACTAAAACAATTGAGGTTTAGTTTGTGTAGAAGAAAAGTGGTACAATTTAATTACTAGTAAATATGACATAGACATATTGCTCATGGTGCATTGCATTAAAGGCACTTGTCAGCTAGCCAGTTCTATATGTTTGCTCTTAAGTGTTTTAACAAGCCAAGTGTTAAGTAACCAAGTATGCACTTTTTATTTGACATTTATTAAGAATGAACTTTAGATAACCCGTTTTGACAAGTAGTGAAAATACTCACCCATTAGTCTGCTGTATTGCTATAATTGTAATAACTTTGTAATAATTCTTCTGTAATGTTATAAGAAGTCAGTCCTTGCAAGAATGTGTTCACAAGCATTTATGTTGACAGAATTAGCTAATCTTTGTAAACTTGCTTTCAGCCACCACAGATGAAGAAAAGAAAAAGCGATTTAGACAAAGAATAACTGAGTACATGGACAGAGCTGAAAAACTTAAACAGCATATTGAGGCAGAAAAGGAAGGTGTGCATAATGCAACTATTGTACTTCGTAGCTGTATAAGATAAAAAAAGAGTAATTTAAGAGCACTTTTATGGCTGTAGTTAAGCGCCAATGGTGTCACTTGTAGGTTGTGGTTCAAAAAATTATATTTTTGTTAGTTTGTTTGTGTGAGTGTTTTCAATATGCAGAATCATTAATATTTTAATTTGCCAGTTGGGCCTCTTTGCTCTAACAGCCATGTTGCATTCTTACAAATATTGCCAGCACTGTCCATGGGAGCATCAGGTAAGCCACTTGTAAACTAAGATCATTTAAAAAGCTGCTCTCTTTCCAGCGGGACGTTACCACGAACAGATGAAAATAGAGAACAACTCAACTGGTAACAGCTACGAGAAAGTGTTTGGGAGATTTTTTGATGAACAGGTCACTATGGTAGAGGTTGAGGATCCCTACATCAGGAGCAATCATCAGGTGACATATAATAAATATAATAATTAATTGTGATAAAAAATTATTGAAAACTGTGGTCCACATTTGTATCAGCTCTGAATACAATTTTAAAATTTATTGGCAGACTTAGGTCAATTTATAAACTTTCTTTTTGATTTGCCTTATTGTACAATATTAATGTAGATAGATATGTTTGTGAGACATAAGCCCCTAATTATGATGTTTCATCAAACAAAGGCATTATATCACTTCTTTACTGATAAAATCAGAAAGAAGCCTCCCAAAAAGAACCCCTAGTAACAAAATGTAGTGGTTTTAGTTTTGATTAAACAGGCATTAAAAAGTGTTGATAGCTGTTCAGGGAAGGGAGGTCTTGAATTTGTAACTGCAATTTTGAACACAAAAATAACTGCTGTTACGCCATAAGCTTGAATTAACAAATTCACTCTGATGTATTTTTGCTGGGACAGCATTATCTCATAACATGACAAGGTGTATTTTTGCATTACCTCTGTAACATTGATAAGGAAACAGACTGTTAATGTAGGTATCTACCTCAGCATGAGTGAGTCATTTGCATTGGATGTAATTAAGTCAAGTAACAGTAGACAATAAACCAGGTGTAAGCCCCCAACTTGGTCATGACTTTAAGTCCCCTGCCCCATCCACATCCATCCTTCAAGTATTTTATATAAAAACAATAAAAAAGAAAAGAGAATGAAAATTGATGAATGATAGATCTAAGACTTTAAAGAAGCAGTCTATTACCATTTCCAGGTGCTTAACTTTGTAAGGTTCTGTGAACTTATAGTGAAGTCCAAGAGTAAAGTCCAGACAATATGTTTAACCACTGGTCAAGACCAAGTGAGTATTGAGTACCTTAAGAAGGGTCATTCAATGCTGTGATTTTACTACATGTAAAGGTGTATATATTTACAGTTTTTTTTAAGCATAGTTATAAATTTTTCATTGTTTAATGAGAATTACAGTTATAAGTTGTTATGTTTAATATATAATTTGGGACAAAGATGGATGCCATACATCTTGAAGTAAAAAAAATCTCAAATTTTTTATCATTTCATTAAGTTAATTTTACAGTATGTACCATCTTTTTTTAGGGAAAGGGTCAGGAAGAAAAGTTATCAGAACTAGTCAAGAACCTAGAAAAGTATAATATGACGTTAAAAGTAACATACTCAGCTTCCTTACATGACAGGGAAATCAGGTAAAACACTGAAACACTTTCAAGTTACCCGGTACATATGAAGTCAAACATATTTGCCACTAAACCTGACCTAATGCCGTCATATGGTTTCAAGTAGCATAACTGAAAGAAATATCAGAGTGTGTTATGTCATACTTCCCGATAATGATTTGAATAGATGTTTTATATTTTTTTCTTTGCTATGTATAACCCTCGACCATTTCTGCCACCCATTTAAATATTTTTGCTATAATTGCACACACTGCAGTTACGTGTCATACATTATAATGTTATTCCGCTGACTTTAACTGGAGTGATGAATAAAAAGCTCAGGTTTCTGACCAGAACTTTTAAAAAGGTGCAGTTTTACAGTTACCCTCAATCAGGATCATATTACTAAATCATATTTTTAATGACATTATTTTTATGTACAGACACAGATGTGTCTGTACATATAGCCGTCACCTGCGTCTGTCGTCGCCGTTGCCGTTGGCGTGCACTTTTACCGATAACACGATAAGTGGAAAACGGTTTTACCTTTTGGCTTGAAACTTACAGAACTGATGAATATTTATAATACGCAGGTCAAGTTCAAAAATCAGCATGATGGGGTCATTTTTAGGGAATTTATGCCGTTTTTTCACTTTTTTCAGCATATATGCAACCCCGATAACATGATAAGTGGAAAACCATTTTACCTTTTGGCTTGAAACTTACAGAACTGATGAATATTCATAATACACAGGTCAAGTTCGAAAATCAGCATGCTTGGGTCATTTTAAGGGAATTTATGCTGTTTTTTCACTTTTTCAGCATATATGCAACACTGATAACACAATATAAGAAAAACAGATAGGCCAATTGTCATTATACTCACAGGAGTATTCAAACTTACTAAAACGCAGGTNTACTTTCATCCTTATCCAATGTTATGCAGAATAAGAATTTGATGTTGGCTATGCAGTTACAGTAAGCATAATACATTAGTT